AATTCTTCTATCCTCTCTAGTCATTGTCCAGCTCTCTGATGCATAACAAGTGATTGAAAAGACCATGGCCTGTATCAGACGTACCTTAGTCTCCAGAGAGACACCATTGCTCTTCAGCACTTTGGAGAGGTCCCTAACAGCAGACTTTCCCATGACAATGTGCCTTTTAATTTCCTGGCTACTGGTGCTAAAAGTGTTGATTGTGGAGCCAAGCAAACTAAAGCTGTGAACAATCTCAATCTCTTCACCATCCATCCTGATGCTGCCAATTGGTCCAGTGGTGAGAATCTTTGTCTTCTTGACATTTTGTTACCTAAGGATAGAAAATATATGATGGGCCGTCAGAGGAACAACCCTATATTGGAAGAACGTAAACCAGAGTGTTCTCCTTAAAAGCAAAGATGATGAGACTTTTTGTCACATACTTCAGATGAGTTATCAGAGGGAGCCAATCCCTGGAAAAAGACATCATGTTTGGGGAAAATTGCATGTCAGGGAACAGAGGAAGGCCCCCAGTGGGATGGATTGACACAATGGCTGGGACAATATTCTTTTTTAAGTTAAAAAAATGTTATTTTGTGTGTGTGTGTGTACCGTCAAAATCAGATCTGACTGATACAGGAGGAGATTGTCCCTCCTTCTCCAGCAGAGAATCTGGTGGATTTGAACCACACACCTCTGGGATTGCAGTGCAGCTTCTTGCCACCAGGCCACCAGAGCTCACCTTAGGACAATATTCTTAAGCACAGTGCTACTGTGAGGCCGGTGCTCGATCACTCAGGTTTAGTTCGTCTGTACATAGTGCTGCTGTAAGTCAGTGACTCAATGACACCTAACAACCCACACACGTGACAGTTGGACAGGGAACCAGAAAGATAGAAGAAGAATCCATGTCTTTGAATGACGGTGTTGACAAAAAAATGTTAAATATAAGGACAAACGAATTTGTCTTGGAAGCAATACAGCCAAAATGCTCCTTAGAAGCAGTGACAGTGGAACTTCATATCACGAACTGTGGGCATTCAGTCAGGACGGGAGAGGGTCATGTTTGGTAAAGGAGATCAGTGTTAAAGATGAAGATTGCCAGCGAGAGGGGCTGACCCAGAGGCTTCAACAATGGACTCACACATTTCCAGGACTGTGAATGTGTGTCAGGACTGGTGGGTTGGAACCAACGGCACCTTACAACAACGTACAAATGGAGGGGGAAGTTGTGTAGATATAAAGCGGTCATTGTTTATTCCTTGTCTCTGCTGTGACTGGCATCTAGAGGGCTATAATAATGTAAATCACTGTGAAACCATTTTATCAATTCCTCTCATTGAGGATTTCCCTCATTCTCATTGGCCCTTCGTTTTACCAGATGTCCTACAACGTCCTCCTCCAGCAATTGGCTCCTCCTGACACCTCCACAGTGAGTCACAGGCTTGGACAATATTCGGTGGTACCTCGTATTTTCATTGGAGGGGTTTTGGGAAATAGATCCCCAGGTCTGTCTTCCTGGTCTGTGCACTCTGAAACGTGTCCATGACGGTAGAGAGAAGAAACAAAACCCAACACAAGGCAGTGGCCCAGCTGTCAGCCTCACAGCAACGCCCGGCAGATGGGCAGGGAAGGTGCTACAGCAGTGAACTCAGGGGCACCAGCAGTCAGGATGGAGCAGGAAGGGGCCCCTGTCCTCCTTTCTGTCAATCAGGGTGTGGTCATGAGTCAGAATTGACTCAATGCAACCAACAGCAATCATGTCAACACTTGAATCCCGACTGAGCCAAGACCACATTCCAATTGTTGAGTGTGGTGGGGAAAGGAAACGGAAAGAAAAAAAAATCAATACTCCCCTTCTTCAGTAAAAAGCTAATGGATTATGACTAAAACTGACAAGTCAAGATGTAGTAATCTGGAGAGCTCTGGTTGCCTAGTGGCAAGAAGCTGCACTGCAATCCCAGAGGTGTGTGGTTTGAATCCACCAGGAGGGACAATCTCCTCCTGTATCAGTCAGATCTGATTTGACGGTACACACACACACACACACACACACACACACACAATGCTGTAATTCAAGAAAGTGATATAGTCACACAGGTAAATATTAACCAGCTGAAAGAGGGGAAATTGGCTCTAGGGAGGGAGAAAAGTGGGGAACGATTACATTTCTGCTCCCCAAAACCACATGGACATATTTAAATCCATAATTTTTATACATACAGGAGCAATGGAGCACTGGTGGCCTAGTGGCGAAGGAGTTGTGCTGCCTCCCCAAAGGTAAGTGGTTTGAATCCACCAGCTGCTAGTTCCAACTCAGTGGAAACAAGGTGAGGTGTTCCAATGACACACAAAGTTACACACTCGATTACAGGCAACAAGGTGGTTCTAACTCAAACATACCTCACAGGATAACCCTGTGAATTTGACTTTGGAAGATCTCGGGTTTCCAAGGAGCACAGTTCTCTGCTCAGGTGGGTGGTCCATGAGCTGGAATCAATTTGACGGCGACTAGTCTGGCCCTTTCTAAGACTTCTGAGAATTCAGATCACATCTTTATCAACTCCTCTGCTCTTTAAGTCATGTGCACCCAGTCATGGGTTCAGCTATCTTTCACCTTGGGTCCTCCTCTTCTTCCTCAGTTTTCTGAGAGCAATGATATTAGACTGGAGACTAAGGTGCACCTGATCCAGGCCATGGTCTTCACAATTACTTGCTATGCCTCAGAAAGCTGGACAGTAACTAGGGATGATCCTTATTCAGAAGCTTCATCTGACATGCTTTGGGCATGATGCAAGGAGGGACCAGTCCTTTGAGAGAGACATCATGTTTGAGAGGGTGGAGGGACAGTGCAAGAAAGGAAGAACCTCAATGAGATGGATTGACTCAGTGATTGGGGTTGTGAAGGTAGATGTGTCACCAGAGACAATAATGTTGGCTCAGGATACAGCCGGGTTCAGAGTTGTTGAATAAAGGGTCGCTATGAGTCCCAAGTGACTTGATGGCACATTAACAACTTCTGCCTCAGAGAAGCAAACCACAAATTCCTGCTTTTTCAAAGCAGAGGATCCTAATGGTGAGCCTTACACAAGTGCCTTACTGAAACTTTTCACAGGTACCACCAGCCAATGCCCATTTTACAGAAGATGCTGTGAGCGCCTCAAGGTGATAGTGGTGATTCAACCCCCGTCACTGTTCCTATGTTTTCTCAGGGTTCCCCAGGATGGCCTTTCCTGCCCTAGTCAGAAAGGCAAGTCTTGGGAGTTGGTGGGATGAGCACCCAGGGTGCTTGGGCTAATCAGAGGAGGCCTTGGGGAAAGTAGAGCTGGGAAAGTCAGCTCTCCGGGGTGGGGCGTAGTGGTAGAAGCTGTGCTGCCATGCCAAAGGTTTAAATCTATCAGCTGCTCAGAGAAAGATGGGCAATCTCCTCCCGACTTATTTACTGCCTGTGCAAACCCACTGGAGAGCCAGCTGAGTTGGTTCCCATTCGAGGCTACAGAAGAACTTGTTTTGTAGAGAGCTCTGCTGGCCAGGTGGCTGGAGTCCAACACCAGCTCAGACAGGGAAAGATGGACAATCTCTCATGCAATTTACTGCCTCTGAAAACTGATGGGAGAGTTTGTTCTGACTCAGAAGCTGATAAGTGATGACTGATCCGGCCTGTTTACTACCAGCCTGGCTTCCGGCAAATTCCTGGCATTTCTGTGTGGAATGATAGCTGTTTTCCTTATTGGTGGTTGTGAAGATTAGAATTGGTGCATACAGCTGTTTATCCCTGGGTGGCTGCAGGAGTGGAGATATAGTTAATGTGACTGAAACTGGCCTGCTAACAGAAGCCAAAGGTCAGAGGTATGCAAGCTGGAGTTCATCTGTGTGGTTTCCAGATGGGGCAAAGTCCCAAATGAACAGCAAGGCAGGATCCTGACTTCCTCTCCCTTAACTACCAGAGGTCTAAGAAATCACTCCTTAAACTCCTTGATCTACTTTGAGGAGCTGCAGGGGGTTGCCAAGGGTAGGGAAGATTGTAGCACTTTCCCAAGCCTGTAGTTCTTGAGGTCAGTGTGGGAAGGACATTTAGACCAGAAGCTTCAGCACCTTGGAGAGAGGACTGAGTTGGACAGAAAGTGGTAGTTCTGTGCCTAGGGTTCCTGGCCTCTGACTCAGTCAATTTAATTCACTTAATATTTAGCAGGGGATTTACCAGTGGGTACCCAGGAATGGCTGTGTCCAATGTCACAACCCTACACCAGGGCGGTACCTAGGACCACCCACTCCTGGTGAACCTGGTACAGCAGACATAGAATCTGTTATTACAGTCGCAGTGTCAATTTCTCTTATGAAGGATCTTCCTCATTTTCTGCTGACCCTCAACTTTACCAGGGAGCTCTGGTGGCCCAGTCAGCAGGAAGGTGCATTGCTAAACCCAACGCTGGTGGTTTGAATCAACCAGCAGCTTCTCTGGAGAAAGATGAGAGGTCCCCCTCCTGTGCAATTTACTCAGAAAACCCACTGGAGAGGCAGCTGAGAGTCAGTCTGACTCGACGGCAATGAGGCTGGGGGTTTGGTTCTTCTTCGCCTTCACCATGCCTGGGGTCATTCTCTAGGAACCTGCCTGCCTAAAGTCTTGCTCTAGCTCTAGACAGAGTTGTGAAGACCAGACCAGAAACCCATGCCCACACAGGTGCCCCACAATGGCCAGTAAGAGTCAGGTGCCCCACAATGGCCAGTAAGAGTCATGGACACACAATTCAGAACTTTGTTATAAATACACATGTTTGGTGAGTGAGGGGCGACAGAAGGCAGAGAAGGCGCTGTACAGAGCTGGTATAGGCTTGGAGGCTGGGCGCCGCCACACAGAGAGACACAGTCCGCCCAGCGGGGCAGCATTCTGGGGCCAGTAACACTTGCTTGGTCAATGAGAGCCCGCAGAGGGCCCTGTGTGGGGCTGGGGGGCCCGGGCACCCTGGGGCTTCCTGGTCCGAGGTTTCTGGGTGTTGGTGGCAACAGCAGCTCCCTGCTCAGCTCACATCATTCAGGGCCTGGTGGGATACGGGAATCAGGAGAATGCTGGGTTGTATGGGGTCAAGGCCACACTTGGGGGGTTGGAGGCCTCACCACATGCTCCCAAGGCCGCTCACCTTGCGGGCAAACTCCGGCAGCACGAAGGCCGCTCGGTGCACATCTGAGTTGTAGTACTTGAGCTGCCTCTGTTCCACCTGTGCCTGCGTCAGCTGCTGCACCGGCTCCCGGAAGTTGGTGCTCTGAGGGTGTCCAGGGAGAGGCAGGCGGGGGCATCAGGGGCAAAGGTTCCAGCCTGCGGTGTGCCCACCCTCATCCCTGGCAGCCCCCAGAGCTCACCGGGTTCTTGCTGCACAGCATGAAGCCGATCTGGCCGCTGGGGTAGGTGGGGATGGTGCAGTAGGCGTAGGCCACCACGGGGAAGAGGGACTTGCAGAACTGCCGCATCTCCTTGATGAGGTCCAGGTGCAGCCACTGGCACTCCCCTGGGGAAAGCAGGGACGTTGGCGCAAGTGCATGGGGCTGGCGGGACATCCGAACCCCCGTACCCGACCCTGAGGGCTGGACTCACCCTGGCAGCAGAGAATGCCATCCTCCTTGAGGGCTGTCTTCATGAGCTGGTAGTAGGATTCTTTGAAGAGGCTCTCAGCGGGGCCTGAGAGAAGGAAAACCTTGTTGAGGCCTCCTGAGCCCACCTCGTGGCACCAAGACCACTGCCAGCCCCTGCACAGGCCTGTGCACCCTGGACGACAACCCTGAGGAGGCCGTCTTTGAGGAAGATGGGGATCCACACCCCCACACTTGATGGAGCACCCCGCATTTTAATTCCAGATGGTCATAAAACGAAACCACCTACATTTTGGCCCATCTCTAGCCCACTGCCCACTGCTGGCCTGTCGGGAATAGAGGTGGTCAAAGGAGAAACTGGTGTTCGCAGACCAAGGCCAGGGTCCCACTGGCCACCAAGTCTCATCTGTTCTAAACCATGGCTGAGGGTTCGATGGGTGAAAAACGCAAAACCAAGTAGGAGCTGAAGAGCGGGACCCTGACGTGCAGCTGCCAGAAGGCCCTGGGGTCTCTCCCTCGCTTACCCATGGGGTCTGAGGAGTCCGTGATGATAACATCAAAGGCATCCTGGTTCTGCTTCATGAATTCAAAACCATCACCTACATGGAGGGTCAGCTTTGAGCTGGAGTAGCCAATCGCCATGCCTGGAAGAAACTTCTTAGAGACTTGGATGACATCCTGGGGGTGGGAGGGAGGGACAAAGGCTTAGTACCAGTGCCCAAGGGAGCCCACCACCAGCATGGGCCTGATCACCTTGGGCAAACCCTGTACTTCTGGGAACCTCAGGTTCCACATCTGTGAAATGGTACCCGCCCTCAACTCCTATCTCATTCATGAGTTGGCTCCTACCTGCCTCTCTGGCCTCATTTCCTACCTGCAGTCCTCCCCTCCTCTCAAACCCTGCCTCACTGACGCACCTTTCTGATTATATCCTATTTCAAGGCATTGCAACCACAGGCCCGCTCCTAGAACACTCGCTGCCAGCCTCTCCTTCAGGCCTCAGGGTCTACCACACTATCCCCAACCCTCTAGCCCCTCACTGTTTACCCCACAGACTTTACAGCATCCTCTAGAAGTTTCTTCCTAACTAGAACATCCTCTCCAGGAGGCGGACCGCCAAGCCCGGCACTCACCTCATCGATTTCACACTGGACCACGGCCTCCACTGAAGGGTGCTTCACCACTTCCCGCAGGACGCCCCCATCCCCACCGCCGATGATCAGCACCTGTGGAGGGAGGAAGTGAGAAAGGAGCTGAGAATCTCGATTCCCCCATGTTCCTGCAAAACTTGATCAGACGCAGGAACACAGAACCACCTGGAACACCAGCCCCAAGTAATTTGGGGCCCAGTCTCTCTCTCTTTCATTAGCTGCCTGACAGTGATGCTCGTTGTGGTCCTCCTGGGGCTGGACTGAAGCCTCAGGACAACTGCTGAGTCTGGCCCTCAGAGCCTCAGAGTGGGAAAGCTGACCACCTTCTACACTCCCTGTTCTTGGCATCACTGTTTCTGGTAGCCCTTGAGGCAGGAGCCTCCACGCAGAATCTAGACCAGACACACCTTGAATTCTGTACTTGCTGTCTAGGACACCAATGAGCTCAGGGCTGAGGTCTCTGCCCTGGCCTTCAGACCCTGCCCCCGGCAGCAGCAGTGGGGTGTGGAGTACCTTGCGAGGGTTGGGGTGGCTGCAGAGGGGCAGGTTGGCAATCATCTCCTGGTAGGAGAACTCGTCCCTCTCGGTGCACTGGATGACGCCATC